CCCCACCGGAGAAGTTTAAAAACTCCGGAGGGTGCTTTGCAGCTAACTATCTACCCTTGGCTGGATTGCATCTATTTCTACGGCAGGACCCCTTCTGTCGTAGTTACCTTGTGTCATTGTTCTGCATTTTGCGTGCATGCCTCGTCCCTGAGTGCCTTGTCGACGACGGGCGCCAATTGGCAAGCCACGCTTTGATGTCGCCTGGGCCCTTTGCCATTGTCTCGTCAAGGGTCGCTTAAGATAAATCCACCAGCTCCGCTGGATCAATCCGCTTTCTCGTAGATCAGTTCCACCTCCCGCTGAAGCTGTTCGTGCTTCTTCTTCCATTGGTCTTCCCTGTCTTTGCCATGCCTGGCAGCATTTCGATCTCCCACAGGTTCCACCACTGCTGGATGAGCAGTGAGGCGAGGTTAGTGACCCAGAGCTGCCCTGTCTTGGTGGTCTCCTGGGAGCCACCCGATGCAATATGCATCTTGATGCTTAGCCCAGTGCGTGACAAACGTCCTCTCAGGAAATTCCCAACCAATGAGATTTTGTGTCAACGAGGTCCCTATACCTGTCAGGGTAATGCTATGGGTGGAGGAATCGATTTTCAAAGTGGTATTGTAGTTCATCCAGAGCAATTTCCAGGAGGAAGGGGTCTGTGGAATCCTTGCGCAACCTTGTGCTGATTGCTCGTTGCATGATCCCTCGCCACAAGTCCACGTCAACATGCGGGCATCGGTAAACATGGGTTTCAGTCTCGTGATCACGCCACAACGGGGACAGTGGTGATCATACTTGGGGTCAACCCGGTGGACCCTTTCCCAACTGGCAACAATTGAAATAAGAAACTTCACAATTGTGTTTTGTGGATCTCATGACGGTTTGACAGCTCGACCATGGCTGTCCAATCAACCAGTGCAGGGTTGTCCTCGTCCCAGTCGGGATTAGTTGACAATTGGTCGAACACGGGCTGGTCGTTCCTGAGATGCCGCAGTGTTCGGGAAGCTTGTATGTGCATGTTCCTCTGGGAAGGTGCAGCTGGGCCAGGTTTGCCGGAAATCGGAGTACCTTGGAGTGATCCTGTTTGATGTGTCTGTCATGTAACTGCCTGCCAGTTTTTCAGCTCTGCAATTCAGTTGTGCTTTTAGGGGTAGTGTTTCGATGGCCTTGTGCTTGTCCTGGTGCGATTTGATGTGCTCCATCTGGGCACAGTGACTGCAGCCCGGAACGAGTCCTCGATCTGCTGCAAAACATCCCAGTCGGAGTCCAACGAATCATTGGTGGTACCATCCCTCATACTCGAGACAGCTAGCGCACTTTTTCGTCACAGATTCATGTCGCATAAGTGTACATAATTCCTTCATGTGGTCTGATCGTAGAACTCCAGCAATCGTCTAAGAAGGCAAGTAGGGGATAGATGCCATAGGCCTCCGCCCTGTAGGAAGTCGGAACCATACCAAAAATGGACCAGAGCACCGAAGCACAATTTGGCCCCGGTTGTCTGCCAGGACCCGGCTTGCACTAGGCCGGTTCCTATGTGGGCGTCATTGTACGTCTGAGGTACTCCGGTTCAATATGGCTCCGTTCAGCGGGTGGTCTATTGAGGTGCAGCCTAAATAATAAAACTTCGTTATCATGAAATACAGCCGTGGATCCGGCTTTCAGAAAGACCCGCAGCTGGCCTATGAATGGCACAAGAAGGCACATGAAGCTGGCCATGTGAGAGGAACTGCCGCTCTTGGGAGCTGTCTCGTGAATGGATCAGGTGTTACGCAATGTTTTCCACTTAGCATGGTTTACTTGACTCAGGCTGCGACTTCAGGGTCCGCTCTTGCCGCATTGTATACAGCAGGAGCCTTTGCAATGGGGCTTTATGGTATACCTAAGAATGAGAAAGAGGCCATTTTTTGGCTCCGCAAGAGCCTTGGAAATTGTGCATACCCAAACACAGTCGACCACAACGAAGCGAAAGCCCAGGCACTGTTGGATGACCTGTTGAAGAGCCATGATGATGCTGCAGAGGAGGGATCTGCCTCTTCCTCCTCTGAAGAGTCAGTGGAGGACTCTGATTCTTAGTTTTGTCCCTTGGCCATCGCTTGGGTCTGAGCCTCGTACTCCCTCATTTATGTGCCAAGATTGTGCCGGTGTCGTCGTTCAATCTCAAAGAGCCGAACAGACGCCTCTATGATCGGTCTTCATTTCTAATTACGCAATTGCCAAAGTACTAGCTAGTATCAGACTACCCGACGAATCAAAATTACCGACCTAGGCTAGGCATACTACATGCAGTCTTAAATTCCACCATCACCCACCGACTTGCCTTGCTGCTGCCATTCCTGCGCCCGCCGCACGACGGCACCAATTTCTGTTCCTTCCAAATGTGTATTGGGCATGCGTTGGTTCTTGCGTTCATAATACTGTCTCTTTTTGGGTTTGCCGTCATTATCGACATTGGCTCTATTTGCCAACCGTGGTCATCTCATTTGTTCTCGCGGTTCGAGCAATTGATGTTTAACTAGCGGTGCCTGCAATTCAGCGTCACTTTCGGGAATGTTCTTATGGCCAAGTACATGTCTCGGTATATCCTTGGTACATCCGTGATGACGAGCATGGGAATACAAGGAGAGTGCCGGATCCGTCGCCGCGGCTTGTTGTGCTTTGACGGCTTGTCGTCATTTGGATTTGTTATCAACGGTATTACCATCTGCCATTGGATTTACTACTGTTGGTGGGTCGTTTGCGCACGTGGGAACCAGGCGTGGCGGCATTTGTGGCGGTGTCAGCCATGGCAAAGGATTGTGCCAGTACCGCGGGGTTGGATGCATGAGCATTGCTGGAAAGCAATTGTGCCGTGGTGGACATGCCACTGCGAGCTCCGTTGGTGTTGTGTGCGAGTTTGTGTAGTTTGTTGCGTGCATTTTTGGATGATTTCAGATTGGAAGAAATGGAAGATGGATTGAGTGGAGCAACGAGTGGAATGAGTGATTTGGAAAAGGGTCGAATTTATCCATCTTGTTCGTTTCGTTTGCTCAATTCTAGGAGACTGACGACCGATAAGGGAGCTTGTGCTCTGACTGGCTGATCCGAGAGTGCTCCCTACTTGACTGCACTGGAAAACCGGAACCACTGTCCTCTGACATTGATGGCTTCTCCTCTTCTGATTTGTTTGCATGGATCGACATTGGTGTGGACAATGTAGACTTGTTTGTCACTGTTGGCCGCCGTTTCTTTGAGTGCCACGATGCCATCTAGTTCCACCAAAAAGGCATCTCCTCAGGGAAATAGAATTTGTCATTGTCTTCACTATTGGCAATGGCCAGTACCTCTCCTGCAGTGATGAGCATTTGCAAATCTGCCCGTACGCCTTCGTACGCATCTTCCAGATCCTTCATGGGGACACCAAGATGCCCAGATGGCAAGATGCCCCTCCTTGTTTGTTTGCTGTGCTGTTGAGATCGCGACGGTCTGTTCGCTGTTCGAAAATCCAGACCTGCTTCCAACCCGCCTTGGTCCCCCTAACGGGGGGATGTTTTGGATCCAGTAACGTAAGTGTGGAGGGGTTCAGTCTTTCAAGTAGGGAAGCTATCCATTTGGGAGACTGCGAAGGTTTCTACCGAAGCCGGCGAGGGCCAGGCTTAGACAAAGAAGAGGTCAAGGACTAGGTTCCGTGGGTTCACGGACGATACCAAAAGCGAGGACCAACAGGGAGGGCAAAGGGCTTGACACTTTTTTGAAGCAGACGGGACACAGATGGCTGGGTGGCTTTAACAAGGGCAATAAAAAATTGAGTCTGGATGTTATTAATATTATTATTATCGTTTTCTGTTGGAACCTCCAGTAAATTACGTCTTACGTACGTGTTGCACTGGATCCCTGCCTGCATGTTGCCCTCCCCTCTCTGTCCCCGTCCTCAACAGCTCTCTCTAACCCATAGTAACTTTCCCCGTCTATTTGATCCCTTTATTCATTGATGGACCACAATGTCTAACAGCAACAGCAACAACAATGACAATTATGATGCAGATCTTCTCAAGATTGCGGAGTTGAGATTGCAGCTAGGAACTTCAGAAAATTGTCAAGAAGAGGATGAGTCTAAACAAACCCAAGATGATCATGATGGTTCCTCGAGCCATTCTTCTCCTGATCATAGTCTTGCTGCCACTGCTGCTGCCCCTCCTGCTGTCTCTCCTCTGCCAACATCAACCACCAGAAGTGGCTTTGGTGTCAAAGAAAATACCACTGCTGCAAGTCTTGAGACAGCTGGAGACTTGGAGCTGGTAGAACTCACCCAAAAATTTGGCGCAACATTACCGATGGGCCACAACAGCCACGACAGAACCACAGATGATGCACATTCGCCACTACATACAATTCCAATGAGGCAACCCGAGTATTTTGGACAACCACAAACTTGTCCTGGTGCATATGCTGTTGTTGGTCCATGTTTTGCTACTGACAGCGTTAATCATTCGAATGCCGGTAGAAATACTGGTGCAAGTGACGGAGGCTTTTACAATTTGATTGAAGAAATTGCAGACAATGAAGTCATTGCGCATCCTATAGACGATGATCAGCAGATAGACCTGTTACCCAATGCAGTGCCACTACCAACCAACCAGAGATCCAGAGACTACTACCGGTACTGGAGGCAAAAGTTGCTTTGTTTCCTTTCCGTCGAGATCAATGTGGCTTTTTTGTTGTATCTATTTTTCTCCTAATTCTTTTGGTGACATCCAAACAAGGAAACAGAAATCAGCTACCAAATCAAAATGGATCAATTCCTATTCCTGCAACTCCTGTGGAAGTCGCAACAGCGCAGACCCTTTTGGAGTCACTCAATCTACCTCACTACACACAAAAGGCACTGGCAAACTCCAGATCTCCTCAGTCCAAGGCCTATCAATGGCTGGTCAACAACATCAACAACCAATCCTTCACCCAACCAGATCTACCAAAATGGAGACTAATACAAAGATTTGCTATGGCCACATTCTACTATTCCACGAAGGGGGACTATTGGGTGCAACGTCGTGGCTGGCTGGATTGGGAGACTCGTGAATGCAGCTGGGAACAAATTTTAATATCCGCGAACTTCTCATTCTCTCCCGACCTGTGCTGTAACAAGATGGGAGAAATCAAAGCTTTGTCATTTTGGCCAATAACATGGAAGGAACAATTCCTCCGGAGATTTCCTTGCTGGCGAAAAGCTTGCAATCATTTGAAGTGCATCAGCAATTGCAACTCAAGGGCACCATCCCAAGTGTGGTTGGACTTCTGACAAAATTGACTGGATTAATATTGAGTGTGACAGATATTGTTGGAACAATTCCAACAGAGCTTGGTCAACTGCAGAGTCTTCAGGTTCTTCAATTTGTTGTGGCACCAATTCAAGGGCATATTCCTTCTGAGATTGGACGACTGTACAACTTATCCACAGTGTTTGTGGGGAGAACTGATCTAACAGGTATGTATTCTTTGTTTCGGTTTGGTCAGCAGGTCATCTTTGGAAACCTGATTTTGTCATTCAATCTAGGTTCAGTACCAGGTGAGCTTTACGAATTGCCTGGCCTGCAGTTGCTAGCAATTCATGAGTGCCCTGGGCTGGCAACTGACTACATCCTTCAAGAAGTCATTCACAACGCAAAACAGCTTCGTTTGCTTGGCCTATCAGGCCAAAGCAGTGAGTCAGCTTTGTCAATTCCATGTAAGAATTCATGCGGGCAAGACATGTGGAAGGGAGATTCCAAGCAAGGATGACTCACTTTCTAGACTGCTTTTGATACAGCTGAACTTGGCAAGCTGACAGAACTTGAACTGCTCTATTTGGAGGACTGGACAAATCATGGCACTATCCCGAGTGAGATTGGGCACTTGACAAAGCTGGTAAGCGAGGTCCGAGCAAGCGTATTTGACTTTGAATAGGTTTCCATGTGCAAGTACACTGATCTTGCATATACATATCAACAGACCACCCTGGACTTGAATGCGAACTCTATTTCTGGCATTTTGCCAAGCGAGGTCTTTGAACTGACTGGTGAGTTCAGAAACATGCTATCGCGTTGTATTGTACTAGCGTTGACTTCTGCCATCAGAATTCACCTTTGTTGTTTCCTCAGAGCTGACTTACCTTTATGTTGGCTCCAACAAGTTAGAAGGCACACTACCACCTGCTCTCTTTTCCAAACTTTCCCACTTGCAGCTCATATCCATCAGTGACAACATGTTCTCGGGCACTGTTCCTACAGAAGTGGGTCAACTGTCTGATCTCAGGACGCTAGAA